GGCAGCGCAGCTTTTGCCCGCGGTGCCATCGAGTCCCCGGGCCGGGCTCTGAGCCCGGAGCTCTGCTCAGGCCGGCCCTAAAGCCGCAATGTTTTGTGTTTTCCGCAGGTGTGTGGTTAAACCCACATTCCAGGACATTCCAGGCCCGGTGTCTGATGCAGCGTTTTGGAGAGTGCCCAGAGCTGCAGGTGCCAGTGGCACAGGTGAGGTTTGGGGTGACCCAGGCGCTCCCAAGGCTTTGGATGTGCAGCCCCTGGGAAGGCTCCCTGTGCCTGTGCTGGGCTCCTGTCAGCTCCCCAGGCATGGGTTTGTGGGCAGGGAAAGGAAAGGAGCCAGGGCCTCGTGTTCATCTGGGTCCTTTTGTATCTAAAGTCCAGATTTGGCTTCTGGTGCTCTATTTTCTACTGCAATTTAAACATTCTGTTTTTAATAAAACTATTTTTGGTTTCCTTTTCGTGTCCGTGGAGACACAATGGTCATCGTGTGGGGAAGAGGGAGAGCTCAGGAAGGAGAAAGGATGGGGGAAAGGTGCTTGTAATTTTACTTCTCAATATCCTCTGATTTTTTGGGCAATAACTTCAGGTCATTCTCCTACATGAAGTCTGTTTGGCCAGTGATCAGGGAGAGACTTCTCCCTGTTCTTATCCCAAGGCAGGAGCCTTTCAGCATGAGCTCTGTGCCACTGGGTGGTCTCGTGGTTTTCTGTCTCTTTTGATCACTGTGTGCATCTCCAGGGAGGCAAACGAGGCCATGCTGAGCCTCGAGATGCAAAATATTCCCATTTGCCACGGAAACGTTCGTGTTGGCCAGGTTGGGAACATCTCAGCATGTCCAGGGCCAGTGATGGATGGGGTCCAACACTCCAAGTGACACTGGGACCAGAACCACAAGGACCATTTGGAGCCACACTTGACCCTGGGGATGACCTTGACCTCACCCTGACGCTGCTTCACCCCAGGACAGGAGAGCCACCATCAGCTTTTATTACCCACCTGTGAAAGTTTCACTTTTGAACCTCCCCAAATCCCATCTGGGACCCCCCAGGGGACACCCCCAAACTCTGGGACCGCCCTCCAGCCCCCTCAGCCACGCTGTGGCCGCAGCTTCATCTCAGTGAAGGGGATGGAGACGTTGAAGCCTTTCCAGGGGAACCAGTGGATGCCCTGTGGGGGAGCTGGGGGGTCAGAACCCTTAGAGAGTTCCAGAGACCCCCATAAATCCCCATAGAGACCCCACAGACGCCCCCCAGATTCCTATGGGCACTTATGGACCCTTTGGGATCCCCATAGAGACACCAGAGATCCCCACAGGCCCTACAGGACCACACAGGCCCTATAGATCCCACAGACCCTTTTTCCACAGGGCCCTATGGAACCCTATGGACTCCCACAGGCCCCTATGGACCCT